TCAATTATATTATATTATATTAATTTCAATTATATTATATTATATTATATTATTTTCAATTATATTATATTATATTATTTTCAATTATATTATATTACATTATTATATTATATTATTTTCAATTATATCATATTATATTATATTATTTTCAATTATATTATATTATTTTCAATTATATTATATTATATTATTTTTAATTATATTATATTATATTAATTTCAACTATATTATATTATATTATATTATTTTCAATTATATTATATTACATTATTATATTATATTATTTTCAATTATATCATATTATATTATATTATTTTCAATTATATTATATTATATTATTTTTAATTATATTATATTATTTTCAATTATATTATATTATATTATTTTTAATTATATTATATTACATTATTATATTATATTATATTATTTTCAATTATATTATATTACATTATTATATTATATATTATTTTCAATTATAATATATTATATTATATTATATTATTTTCAATTATATTATATTATTTTCAATTATATTATATTATATTATTTTCAATTATATTATATTATTTTCAATTATATTATATTATATTATTTTCAATTATATTATATTATATTAATTTCAATTATATTATATTATATTATTTTCAATTATATTATATTATATTATATTATATTATATTAATTTCAATTATATTATATTATATTGTTTTCAATTATATTATATTATATTATATTATTTTATATTGCTTTACATTATATTATTTTAACTTATATTATATTATTTTATATTATATTATATTAAATTACATTCTATTATTTTAGATTACATTACATTACATTAAATTAAATTAAATTATATCCAGGTATCCCTAATAATAATGTGTATTTAGAGACATTTTGTCTTGAAAATATGAACTTTAAGACTCCACTATACCTATTTTTGACCAATTCCGCTTTCTGAATCATTCATTCAGCTTCAGTTGTCATCATATATTTAAGCTGTTTGAGTAATAAATAAACTATTTTCTAAATAATTAGTAATAAAAAGCAGTGCTAAAACCCCTGCGCAGCCTTGCAGGGTGTCCGCTTTGAGGAGCACAGGATTTCATCTCTGTTATTCGCAGGTGATATTGTTCTGTTGGCTTTATCACACATGGACCTTCAGCATGCACTGGTGCGGTTTGCTGCCGCGAATCAGCACCTCCAAGTCCGAGGCCATGGTGCTCCACTGGAAAAAGATGGATTAGAGCTTGGAGTAGAGCCGCTGCTGCTCCTCCACATTGAGAGAAGTCTTGAGAGATGCCTCCTGGACACCTGCCTAGTGAGGTGTTTCAGGCATGACCCACTAGGAGGAGGCCTCTGGAAAAACCCAGGACACTCTGAAGGGACTATTGGCATACTTGCACTGTGTACAATTACCTTGAACCGCTTTCATTTTAATTATTCTCAGGCACGTGATCATACTTTCATTATCACTCGTGGTTTGTTTTTACCTGCTTTCTTTTGGTCATTTTTGGTAATATAGTTTAATTATCATCCTTTACAATAACATTTCTTTAATATGAGATGAACTCCCCACTTGTGTGTAGTACCTGCTGATCTGGGACCTTTAGCCAGGACAGATTACTGTGCATATTTTAGATGCATGACAATAGATCTTTTTAAATGTTAATAAAAATAAATTGTTGAATAATATGCATGTATACAGCTATATATTTGCTTGTTTTGACACATTTAAATATGTGCCAAAGAAATAATTATTTCTTTTTGGTGTGGTTAGAGATGAATTTGGTAAAACCTTTATTCTGAGGCCTAAAAAGTCATGTCAAATAAAAACCACTTGCAATGCGACACAACCCATTTGCTCATGCACAGTGAGCAAGCTCACACACAACACACACAAACAGTGAAATGAATGAGGAGGGATGTGGACAACACAACATCTAAATTAAGTCATTTTAGCATGTCAAAGTCACATTTATTTATATAAAATATATTTTCCAAGTAGGGTTGTAACGGTATGAATTTTTTACGGTATGATAATCGTCTAAAACAATACCACGGTTTGACGGTTTCGCGGTATACGGTATGTTGCAAATGTTACAAAATAATAGAACAGTGAAGCAAATTTGACTTTTTCCAAATAATATATTTTCAGTTACTATAAACAACACCACTTACAATGAACAAATAAAAAAATAAGAAAATAATAAATAATGTGTCAAAGTCCAAATAAACATGGTGCAAATCCTCAGTAAAAAATAGATATAAATATTTACTATACTATAAATAGTTACATAACGAAACTAGATTCAATATGGAACATCCTTAGGTTTTATGTGCCAGCATGGATATGGTTGTCTGTGGATATGGATTTGGATATGGTTGTCTGCAATGCAGACAAACAGCTGCACCTTCATTTGCGTCTTTTGAAAACAGCAAGAGCAGCAGTTCGTCTTTGCGGTGTCACTGTTTTGTCATGTTTCTGTGCTGCTGTGCATGCAAAAGTACTTAGTATGAGAATCATTTCATGCAAAACTTTTTTTTTGCCTTTTATTTAGCCGCGCAGAAATGTATGCCCATCTCTCATTCCGTGTTGTTCAAAAAGCTCATTGTTTGGTCCACAAACAAAAGCGAAACCTATGCTTATTGGTTGTGATATAGCGAGTTTGAACCAATCTGGGCATGGAGGAGGGACAATGCATCAATGTATCATGTCTGGTTTGTCCGGAGACACAGTGACGAGCGTTTCTTTGTCAAATCAGCGTGGTCAAATTTTGATGACGTAACCGCACTGATTCCGGAGCCTCTGAAAGTCCGCGAATGTTATGTGATACAGCACTGGAAAGCTGAGATTCTCTTCTTTATGCCAATCTTTGAATTGTATGAATCGGATCAGCGGATCAAAAGTTATTAAACATTAAAGAGCAATACTTATTTTTAGCCGCGGGCGGCTGTCTCGGTCTTTAAGGGTTAAAACCGTTGATATGCAATTGTTCATGGTATGATAATCGTGCACGTTCAAATCGTGGTAGACCGTCATACCGGTATATTGTTACAACCCTATTTCCAAACAACAAAATTGTGGCTAGTGAAAATGGCAGGTGGCTAGTAATGTTGGAAATCTAATAGCCACAGTGGCTGGTGATCAAAAAAGTTAATGTAAAGCCCTGATTATAATAGTGTTTCAGGCATGTCATGTGGAGTCTGCCTTAAGGTTAGCATCTGAAGCTAAAGCACAAAATAACGGAAATGGTCAACTCTATTTGGAAAACAGAATCAGTTCAATTATCAGTAAATAAAGCACACCAGAGACCCAACAGACCAGAGGTGAATACGGTGCTATTCCTCAGCTCTCCACTGTTGAGATGTTGTATTTAAGAGTGTATTAGTCAGGTGTGTGTCCTCCTCAAACTGCTCCTGTGTGTAGCACTAGTGTCCTCCACATCTCCTCCTCCTTCTGTTGTGTTGTGATGTGATTTTTGACTGTGTAATAACTCTAATCATTCAGCGGAGTGATATGGAGCTGCAATGTGCTCAAAACCTGCCGGAACTACTTTAGCTGGCTTAACCATACACCTTAGAGCAGTGGTTCCCTCGAGGGGTCGCGGGACAATGAAGGAGGGTCGCCTGGTGATTTTAAAAAAATCTATTTATTATTATTAAATCATATAAGAATGACCATATTTTATCCATGACCTACTGAAGAGAAAAAAAATAGTCGTTTATAAATACTATATAGTTACTATAGTAGCTTATAGTTACTAGTTCTATTGAATTGCGACCCCAGTAGTAATTACATTATATTAAAGACACAGCAATAGCGTCAGATGCAGCAGATTGATTTTATAACACCAGGTTAAAATTTCTGGCCCATTTACAGCACTGACATTAAACGAAGAATATACCTGGGTGTATTGGTGTGTGTGTGACATTGCATACAAGGTTTCTGTATTCATAACCAGGATATTGGGCTTCGCGAGTCACTGGCATCGTCATATTGAGGGGCGCAGGCTGAAAAGTTTGGGAAGCCCTGCCTTAGAGCATGGGTCTCGAACTGGATTCCTGGAGGGCCTCTGCTCTGCACAGCTGTGCTCCAGTCCTATTTAAATTAAACACAGCTGATCCAAATAATCAAGGTGTTCAAGACTACTAGAGCAGCAGGTGTGAGTTGGAGGTTATATCTGCAGAGCTGTGGCCCTCCAGGAATTGAGTTTAAGGGTGCTTTCACACCTACACTTTTGTTTCGGAACGTGTCTCGTTTGCCCAGTTAGCACGGTTCGTTTGGCATATGTGAACAGGGCAATCGCGCTCTTTTCCGCGCCAAAGTAATCGCTCCGAGATCGCTTGAATGAGGTGGTCTCGGCTCGATTGAAACGAACCCTGGAGCGGTTCGATTGCAGTGAGAAAGCGATCCGATCCGAGCGCGGTTATATCACTGTGTTTTATGGATATGTAATAGGCTTACGGCTATATGAAGAGAGAATTATAAGTAGGGCGGGAAGTTTCGCGAGTCTCCCGGATGCCCGCAAACGAGTGAAGATCTCCCGGTAATCTCTCGTCTCTCTCCCAGTCCTCAAATAGGCATCGTCGTGCACCCTTCTCACCCCTCCCCACCGCATCTCTCCTCAAACACGTCACGCGCGCACCCTGTCAATCACCACCAAACCACCACCTCTCCTGACAGCTGAGCAGGACTCTGCAAAATAAACCCTGACACTCTGACCAATGTGAGGAGAGTTTACTCACACGTGACTTGTTTTAGCTCTTTTGATCCGATTAGAAACTTTGCAGTGTGAAAGCGAACCGCTCCAAGAGCAAAGAGCAACAATGTAACATTTGTAATCTCTGTTTCGGAACAACTGAATCCATTCACAGGTGTGAAAGCACCCTAAGATCACTGCCTTAGAATGACCATCAGCCAATCAGAGTCTAGCGCTCAGCAGACCTGTAGTGCAAGTTGATTCATGCGACTGACGGGTGTTTTTGCTTGTTTTCAGATGTTCCTCCCGCCGAGCAGGAGAAGTTATTCGTGCAGAAGTTGCGCCAGTGCTGCGTTCTCTTCGACTTCGTTTCCGACCCGCTGAGCGACCTGAAATGGAAAGAAGTAAAGCGTGCGGCGCTGAGCGAGATGGTGGAGTACATCACCCACAACCGGAACGTCATCACAGAACCCATCTATCCGGAGGTGGTGCACATGGTGAGCACTGGTTCTTTCTCAAATATTTCCCTCATAATGTTTATTAGATTCAGGAGTTTCTCACAGTGTTTCCTCTAATATTTGTTCTTCTGGAGAAAGTCTGATTTGTTTTATTTCGGCTGGGATAAAAGTAGTTTTTAATTGTTTAAAGCCATTTTAAGGTCAATATTATTCGCCCCTTCAGCAATATTAGTGTTGGATTGTCTCCAGAACAAACCACTGTTATACAATGACTTGCCTAATTACCCTAACTTTACCCTAATTACCCTAGTGAAGCCTTTAAATGTCACTTTAAGCTGTATAGAAGTGTCTTAAAGAATATCTAGTCTAATATTATGTGCTTTCATCATGGCAAAGAGAAAATAAATCAGTTCTTAAACTATTATGCACACAATTTATTAAATAAAAAACTCCCTTTAGAAAAGATTGATTTGCTTAATAAATTATGGAGTCGGACCTTCTTTGTTACCTGATATTTGCAGTTGAAATAGAGGTATCACAACCAGCAAGTGTTTTTTTTTTTTTTTAATCAAAACTGACCCAGGCTCCTCTCAAAAGATAATAAGAGGATGTACAAGAGGCATCATTGTGGATAAAACATTTAGTTTTATTTACATTCATTCATTCATTAATTTTCTTGTCAGCTTAGTCCCTTTAATAATCCGGGGTCGCCACAGTGGAATGAACCAACTTATCCAGCACATTTTTACGTAGCGGATGCACTTCCAGCCGCAACCCATCTCTGGGAAACATCCACACACACACACACACACTTTAGCTTACCCAATTCACCTGTACTTCATGTCTTTGGAATGTGGGGGAAACCGGAGCACCCGGAAGAAACCCACGTGAACACAGGGAGAACATGCAAACTCCACACTGAAACGCCAGCTGAGCATAGGCTCGACCCAGCGACCTTCTTGCTGTGAGGCGACAGCACTACCTACTGCGCCACTGCGTCGCTGCTTTTATTTGAACAAAAACTTTAATTGAGAATTTGTCATGGGTATGAACAATTTCAGGCTTCGCTGTGTATGTATATTGGTATTTGTAATAGAGGTGTGAATAGGAATGGGTTTTGTTAAGGTTTTAACGGTATTATTACTTTTATCGATACCACTTATCAGTTCGGTATCAGTAACGGTTCCCTTATCTGTACTTTTTGTAGTGTTTTTTTATGAAAAAAAACCCCAAATGGAACAGATTTAACTGATTTATTTATTATTACGTTTTTAATGTAAAATAAATGAAACTAATAATTGTAAAACAAACTAATATTTTTTTTTCTGTAAAAGAATGTACAATGGTTTAAAGGAAAATGACTCTCAGTTTTTAACAGTTCTTCTGGAGGAAATGTGTGAGTTTTCTGTAATATTCCAAATTAAAGTAATATTGTAATTACTTGTGCACCTTGGTATATTAAGTAAGGGTGTCACCCTTGATTTAAAAATCGAAATCGATTGAAATTTATGCTCAATTTCGATTATCAAATCAAAAAATAGTATCGTCGATGCTGCCAAGCGGGGAAAAAAAAAAAACGCTTGTTGAACTGCAGACTCAGGAGACCCGTCGACAGAGCTTAATCCCTCTCCTCTTTCAATGAAGTCGACAGTGTGGAAGTATTTTGGATTTCCAGTGAGTTATGTTGACAAAACACAGTTTGCAAGCTCTGCTATGTACGTATTAAGGTTGAGCCGATAGAAGATAGAAGCCATTATAACGACACAGATCACTGCCTATTCACGAGTCCCGCAGAAAAAGTGATTGACAGGTGGTAATTATGTGTGTAAGTTACATTCATTCATCTATTGTATGATTTGTTTATGGGTAAAACAAAGATCATGCAGGTCAGGTAGTTTAAACGGTAGGCTACTAATAATAAATTCTTTATTTATTAATGAATTATTCTTACTCGAAAATCGAATCGAACAGCGACTTTAGAATCGAAAATGTAATCGAATCGAGGATTTGGAGGATCGTGACACCCTTAATATTAAGGTTTATGAGAATGCTAAACAGTAAACACTTACTAGTTTTACTTTAAATGTATTTTTATATTTAAACTATTTTTTTATTTTTATTTTTTACTTTTTAATATTTTTATATTTAAATACTGTAAAAAAAAATCGTAAAACAGGTCAAATGACAACAAAAAAAACCCCTTAAAATTACGATAAAATGTTTGTTGAAATAAAGTGCAAAAAAGTAAATCTACAGATAGTTTCATTAAAATGTTTATAAAGAGACACTGATTTTACAGACTTTTCCAAGATTATTACAATCAAATACGTTTAATAAAGTTACACAATAAGAGTTTTACTTTCTTTGTAAACGTCTTACTGAAAATATCTGTAGATTTATTATTATTATTGCACTTTATTTCAACATTTTCAAGACATTTTCAAGACATTTTACCGTAATATCATGCTTTTTGTTTGGCAGCCGTAGCTGCCAGTCATTTGACCTTATTTTTACGATTTGTTCACAGTGTATTTTTGCACATTTTTACATTTAACTACAGTTAAATATCTTACATTTATTTAAACCTATTTGTATGCACATTTACAGTCAATTAAAATAAATAATTTCCCATTCTTCATTCAGTCATTCATTTTCCTTCCAACATATCCGGCACGTTTTTACGCAGCGGATGCCCTTTCAGCCGCAATCCGTCTCAGGGAAACATCCATACACTCTCATTCACACTCATACACTACAGACAATTTAGCCTACCCAGTTCACCTGTACCGCATTTGTTTGGACTGTGGATGAACACGGAGGAAACCCACGCAGAAACCAGCGACCTCCTTGCTGTAAGGCGACAGCACTACCTACTGCGCCACTCCATCGCCCATTTCCCAGTTTTATGCACGTATAAACTTCGTGATTTTACATTGTATGCACATTTACATGCAGTTCATCTGAAATTGAATCCTATTTTACATTTTAAGCACATTATTCTGACATGAATTTCAGATGCATGATTCTGTGGCCCATAGAAGGCTGCGTGTGAACCTGTTGCTCCTCAGTGTTGTCCTATCCTCCTTTTAAGGGTGTGTTTTTGGGATTGACCCGCCGTGGGCTCTGCCAGCTGCAGTTATTCCTGCGCTCAATCGCATCCCTTTGATATTTATTAGACCCGCAGCTGATGTTAAGCCTATCCAAGTGCAAATGGACTTGAGAAATAAGCATGATAATGTGTTCTCTTCAGCATCACGTCTCCTCAAACACACACACACACACACACACACACACTTTGATGATTAAAGCCAAGAACTTCAAAGTGCTGCGATCGGGAGGATTAAAACCCTTTCCTATGATTAATTTGCGCATGTGGTGCCACGTTTCATTAATCCACGAGCGCTCATTCTTAAATCATATGCACTGTTTTAAATAAAGAAAATTGGGTCCAACTTTATTCTGTGGCATCTTTGTTGCGACTGCTGGGTAATATTAACTCATTAATGATCTGTACTCGCTCTATATGCTTAAGGGATGATTGTGGGTTAGCTTCAGGTTTAGTTGTGTGAGAAAATTGTATTTATTTTACTTTGGATGAATAAAAAAAGCATAAAAAAGCTGCTGTGAGCAAAATTATTCACCCCCTTAACCTTAGTCTAATTGCACCTAAGTCTAATGTCACTTTAAGCTGAGTTCTTGCACAATATCTGGTAAAATATCATGTACTGCCATCGTGGCAAAGACAAAATAAATTATTTATTAAAACTATTATGTTTAAATATGTTTAATAAAATTCTCTTCATTAAATAACCCTTTGGGAATTATCTGTAAAGTATTAAAATGTCTAATAATTTTGTCTTCAGCTTCGTAGCATTTATGAATTAACAAAAGGAAAATACATCAATGAATTTAATGATAATAAATACAATAAATAATAACTATAATATTAATAACTATGAATAAATATATAGGTTAAGGGTGAACTTAAACTATTTACAGATGCCTTGAACCATGCCAAAGCACGCTTGCCCCCCCCTGCACTCACATTGCATTTGCACCTGAGCACGCTTATGTCATCGATGATGCGTTCAGTAAGAAGCGCTCGCTCAGCACAGTGGACATTTCTTTAGTTAGATCATTTTAGTGGTTTGATATGCAGTGACACACAGTCAAATATTCCGCTGAACAGATCAGCCACTTTTGATGCTTATAAACAATCATAAGGTTCTGGTGCTGCAGGAATGAAGAGGTTGCGTTCATTGAACTGTAAGAATGATTAATAAATCCAAATCAAACAGTCCCTTAAAAGTCATGTCTCATCTTCAGTTTCAGGCTTAGACGAGCTTTGCACTCACACTACAAGTTAGGGCCGGGCGATTTGGCAAAAAAAATAAAAAAATCTAGGTTTTTTATAAAGTTTGACTGATTCACGATTTCGTTTTTTTATTTTATTTTATTTTTTATTTTATTTTTTTTATTGTGTCACTATTCTTCTCAAAACATTACAAC